CTGTGAGAAGTAAACTAGCAGACTGTCTGGGCTTGTCTACTGAAATGAAACTAACTGCTTGTGTTTGCCTGTAACTCTCCTGCCTTGTATTTACTTGGAAGAATCACCTATTGTTATTGGACATTTATTCATCTATTCTTATGTATATAAAGAAGTTAATGAATCCAACTGAATCAGTTATCTCTGTGTGCTTTCTGCATTTAAATTTTGTAACAAACTGACAGCCACCTCTTCCCCATCACTTATACCAGAGTGTAGCAATATTACCGTCAATAATATTGGCCACGTCGGAAGAGGTGCTGTGCACAAATGTGATCTCATCGTGAAGGTTGATTATATCTTCTATTTGCTTAAAGGTTCCCTCAACAGATCTCAAGCAAATTTAACTTCTGAAGTTAAATTAAGATTAACATTCTTACTAGGAAGTGTTTCTGGGTTTAGAACAATTTTTACAGAACAGTGGTTCTCAAGGTTTCCCACCTCCCCATGTAATTAATTAATTAATTAATTAATTCATTCATTCATTCATTCACTCATTTATTCATTTGCTTCTTTTTTTATTTATATCATGTTTCATCTTACATATGTTGTTGTTATGCATTTTCCATTTTAACATTGTCAGCTACCAAAGAGTTATCTTGTGCTGAGAGGGATGGTAATTAAATTTAAAAAATAAACTAATGTAAAATAAAGTAAGGTAAGGTAAGGTAAAATAAAGTAAAACAAAATATAAAATAAGTAATTAAATACATTTGAATCCTGCCAAAGAGCCGAGGTGGTGCAGTGGTTAGAGTGCAGTATTGCAGGCTACTTCAGCTGACTGCTAGCTGCAGTTCGGCAGTTCGAATCTCACTGACTCAAGGTTGACTTAGCCTTCCGTCCTTCCCAGGTGGGTAAAATGAGGACCCAGATTGTTGGGGGCAAGAGGCTGACTCTGGAAACTGCTCAGAGAGGGCTGTAAAAGCACTATAAAGCGGTATATAAACGTAAGTGCTGTTGCTATTTTTTATAAATAATTCAAGGTGGTGAATATATAGGACCCTCCTTTCCTTCTCTTGTTTTCCCTGTAACAAAAACCACAAAAAAAACACCTTTGTGAGAAGGTTTGTGCTGAGAGAGAATGAGTAGCTCGAGGTCTCTCAGCTGGCTTTCATAGCTAAGACAGCCTTGAACTCAAGGTCTCTTGCTTCCTAGCCTGCTGCCTTAACCACTAGGCCAAACATATCTGGTTGGATAGGCAAATCGAGGCAAAATCTCCTCTTTAAAAGAGCCCCCGTGCTTTCCCTTTTCAGCCAACACAGTTTGTGAAGTTTCCTGAATCCGTTTTTATTCATTGCAGGGACAGAAAATGGTCTTGCGGCTAGTCTTGGTGTCCGTATTAGTCCTCTTTCAAAATAATCCTTTCATCTCTAAACAATTTCCTTGCATTTCCTGTTTCCTGATCAAAAAATCTAATTGAAATATGTTTTTTTTAAAGGAGTCCAATCTCAGGTCCAGTTGGTGGAGTCTGGAGGTGATGTGAGAAGACTTGGAGACTCCCTCCGTCTCTCCTGCCAAGCCTCTGGATTCACCTTCAGCAACTATTACATGTACTGGGTTAGACAGGCTCCAGGGAAAGGACTGGAATTGTTGGCAAGCATAAGTACAGGTTCATCTCCTTCCACTTCCTACTCAAACAAAGTCAAGGGCCGCTTCACCATCTCCAGGGATGATTCCCGCAGCCAGCTGTATTTGCAAATGAACAATCTCAAACTGGAGGACAAAGCTGCCTATTACTGCTCAACTTGCACAGTGAGAGGCAGTGAATCTGCTGCTGAGC